CAGAATGGCTAAAATGAACAACTCAGGAAACTACAGATGCTGGAGAGGATGAGATGAAACACAAACCCTCTTGCACTGTTGGTGGGAATGCAAACTGGTGCTGCTGCTCTGGAAAATAGTGTGGAGGTTCCTCAAAAAATTAAAAACACAACCACCCTACAATCCAGCAGTAGCACTGCTAGGAATTTACCCAAGGGGTACAGGCATGCTGATTCATAGGGGCCCATGTACACCAATGTTTATAGCACCACTTTCAACACTAGTCAAATTATGGAAAGAGCCAATGTCCATCAACTGATGAATGGATAAAGAAGATGTGGTTTTTATATATAATGGAATACTACTTGGCTATGTAAAGAGTGAAATTATGCCATTTGCAGCAAGTGGATGGAACTGAAAGGTATTATGCTGAGAGAAATAAGTCAGTCAAAGAAGGACAGATATCACATGTTTTCACTCCTATGTGGATCTTGAGAAACTTAACAGAAAACCATGGGGGAAGGGAAAGGGAAAGGGAAAAAATAGTTACAAAGAGGGAGGGATGTAAACCATAAGAGACTCTTAAATACAGAGGACAAACTGAAGGCGGATGGGGAGGTGGGAGAGAGGGGAAAATGGGTGATGATGGGCATTGAGGGCACTTGTTGGGATGAGCACTACATGTTGTATGTAAGCGATGAACCACAGGAATTTACCCCAGGAACCAAGAGCACATTTTACACACTATATGTCAGCCAATTTCACAATAAATTATATTAAAAAATAAAAATAAAAATAAAAAAGCAAATATTTGAAATAAACAAAACAAAACAAAAAAAAAAACAAACAAAAAAACTCAAATCACCACAACCAAAGAATATCTAAAGTCTGCTGTAAGTTTTGTCATTTATCTAAAATTAGATCACTCAAATTAAAAAAAAATTTAATGTTTTATTTATTTTTGAGAGATAGAGACAGCATGAGCAGGGGAGAGTCAGAGAGAGAGGGAGACACAGAATCTGAAGCAGGCGCTAGGCTGTGAGCTAGCTTTCAGCACAGAGCCCGATGCGGGGCTCTGAACCCATGAACCATGAGATCATGACCTGAGCCAAAGTCGGTCGTTTTAACCGACTGAGCCACCCAGGCACCCCAGATCACTTAAATTTGAAGAAATAAAAGTAACGGTAAGTGAGAGCCTCAAGTCATCCATAGAAACCTAAAATTAGTGATAGTGCCCAGATTTTTAGAGATATTATTTTACATATATGAATGTGGTAAAACAACATCAGAACCATAGGAATCTCATTGCTATTATTTCCTATAAAGTGATCTGCTGATCTAAAATCTTGTTTTGTTTTATTTTTGTTTATACTAATGCTTATCAGTACTATTCTTTACTTTCTCAATTTTTAAAGAGATGTCAGAATTTCCTTTTTTAAAATAATTTTTTAATCTTTATTTTTGACAGAGAGAGACAGAAAGAGAGACAGAGACAGAGTGCTAGTGGGGGACTGGCAGAGAGAGAGACACACACAGAATCTGAAGCAGGCTCCAGGCTCTGAGCTGTCAGCACTGAACCTGATGCAGGGCTGAACCCACAAACCTTAAGATCACGGTCTGAGCTAAGTCAGACGCTTAACCGACTGAGCCACCCAGGTGCCTCAAAATGTCAGAATTTCTTAAGTAATGTTCTGCTCTTTTAGATTGTTATAGTGATGTTCTTCATTAGAAGTTACAGCTAGCCAGTAATTCAACTCTAGTTTGTAATATTAAAAGTCAATAGATAGGCTTTTCAAGTACTAATAGCTATCTTTCTGAAATACTTGTCACCTGTAGCTCATACTGTAAATTAAGGCTGCTGGTCTAGACTTTTGTTCAGATTTCTATAGCTCTATAATTTTTCTTTTTTCCCCTTTTACTCTTTTTTATCAACTTCTTCACATTGTCTTTGTATCTATCTTTATCTATCTATCATCAATCATCTATCTATCTTGAACCTAACTCGAATTTTGTATATAATGCCTGTATATAAGAATTCAATTAAAACAGGTCATACACAGCAGTGTAAAAGGTGCTTTCAAAGTTGTCTCATTTGATAATCAAAACAGCTTTTGGGCATAGATTTTACAACTATATTTTTAAAATCAACATGAAAAGTCATCTTCAGTTTTCCAACATGTAACTATTTGAACTTTTCAATGGCCATTTATTATTAACATTAAAAAAGCAACAATAGAGAAACTTGCGGTGCTTGTATATTTGCATATATACCAGGGCTACAGGTACATTTATATATCAATATGATTATATGAGGTCTAATTATATTCATTTATACTCATTTCCACAGGTTATCTCTCTCTCTCTCTCTCTCTCTCTCTCTCTCTCTCTCACACACACACACACACACACACACACACACACACACACACAGCCTTTTTTTCCTTTACTTTCCAATATACTATTTAAATTCAAGTTAGTTAACATATAGCATAGTATTGGTTTCAGGAGTAGAATTTAGTGATGCATCACTAACATATAACACCCAGTGCTCAACCCAACAATATCCATCACCCTTTTAGTCCGTACCCTGCCCACCTCTCTTGCAGGAACCCTCAGTTTGTTTTCTATAGTTAAGAGTCTTTTATGGTTTTCCTCCCTCTCTGGTTTTATCTTATTTTATTTTTTGTATATTTTTATAAAGAGCTTAAAAGGAAAAATGAGCACTAAAGATTTTAAATAATATTCAGCATCTTGTAAGCAGTGAATAACAGATCTTGGTTTCAAGCACAAGCTCTCTCTTCCATTTATCTTAATAAAAACAGTTTATTGTTTCAAAATTTTTAAAACTCTATTCTTGACTCAATTAAATCAATATGTTCATCTTTTAATTGTAAGGCATTTCCATAAATTACTTTCAGAACAATATCTGGCACAATATTTTGCTAACTTGTCTTTTGATAAACATATATCCAACAAAATTAATTTAATACAGATTTAAAGAACAAGTCTTATTATTTAAATGTATTTTTTCTTCTCTTCATATCATACAATTCTATGGCTCCGTGGCTCTGAGAGGTACAAAGGAAAGGAAAGGTAGTAAAAAATTGGTAAACATAGTAATAAAAGATACAAGAAGTTTTGAAACTTGCTACATATATGTTTCACAGTCTCCATATTCACATGGTAATTAGGCTCATAGTTCAAAGGAGAGAGTATTTTGTGAAATGTTTCATAATAAGTTTCCACCAAGTGAATTTAATATCTATGGATTAGCCAAGGACAAAATAAAGTGAGTCTTTATTTCATGGGCAAAAGGAATTGAACCTGGACAACATGAAAAGATGTCATTTATGATTATATTAATAGAATTATTTGAAAAAATAATTGAAGTAAAATTCATAGAGTTCAAATAACAATATTACTTAGAATTGATATCTGCTACATTAAAGTAAAAGTCATAGTTTGAACTTGAACTATCAGATACACTTCCTATTTTCCTCAATAACTAAGCAATGCATTCTAGCAGTTAGAAAAGAAAAGAAAAGTAATACATTTTTTATATATGATAAACTATTAGTTTAAACATTCCATAAAAAAATATACATTGATACATAAGTATGATCATCTGAAATGTTTGGTAAATGTATTCCTAAATTGAGAGGAAAACAGTAAGATGTTTTCAGATTTCTTCTTCATGAGTAAATTAATACTTCCAAATTCTACTTTGTATTAATTAAATGTATTACCTCATTTCTTCAGCTTTACCCTTTCTTCTTAGGTATATCCTTTCTGTCTTCAGAAAGAGATGTAAAACGTCTTCATGATCTTGAATAATAAAGACATAAAAATAATTAATCACAAAGTAAATGGCATATTATTTCAAATACATTTAAATTATTTAATTTGAGTGAAGTTAGCACTAGTTCCTCTTAGAAACATTAATTTGAATAACTATCCACAACCAAAAATGCCTTCACAAGAGCTAAGAATTCCAGGTGAGTCATTACATCACCAGAATGAAGCACACACACACACACACAAAAAAGACACACCAAGAAGGGTAAAAAAGATATTCACATTCCCCCCATCACCACTTCCCCAAGTCCAGGCAGCCTAGTGCCAAGAGAGAAAGAGATTCACCCTAAGAGAAACAGAAAGTGAAGTGAGAGCTAGTATGCCCCCTATAACTCCATGGTACCAGGCTCCCAGGGGGCTCCCATGAACCCAGGGCCTGGCCTACCTATTCCATTACTGAAGCGCTTCCATAAACTCAGATGCCAAGCCTACTTCAGTGGTCCCTAGGGCCAAGTCTGTCCTCACAGGCCCAGGCACCAGGGTGGTCTCCATGTATTTAAGCACCAGGCCTGCCCATCTGCTGACCCAGGCACCAGACTGGTCTACACAAGGATTTGAGCAACAAGCCCACCCATGAACACCAAAAAATGGCCCATTCAACCTCTTGATGAGCTGTCTGATAAAGAGTTTATCTATCAAATCCAGTATATAAAGACTAGAAAAGTCTACTTCCTTGACAGTAGAGACACCAACACAAAGCCATAGGGATCATGATTAGTCAAGGAAATATGATACCACCAAAGAAAACTAATAAAACTCCAATGATTGACCTTAAAGAAATGGATACTTATCACTTGTATGACAAAGAATTCCAAGTAATCCACTTAAAGAAATTCAGTGAACTATAAGGAAACACTTATGAACAACTAACTGAAATAAGAAAAATAATACATGAGAAGAAACAGGAGTACATATATTTATATCAGAAAAAGTAGACTTTAAGTCAAAAACTGTAAGAGATGAAGAAGGCTATTAATTAATGATAAAGGGGTCAATTCATCAAGAGGATATAACAATTGTAAATATATATACACTTAATATTGGAGCACCTAACTATATTAAGCAAATACTAAAGGAAAGAAATAGAGAGCAATACAATAATATTAGGGATATCCCTAATACCCCTACCTTTAAAAATGGATTGATCATCCAGAGAGAAAATCAACAAGGAAAAACTGACTTGAATTATATTTCAAAGTTCCTATGTACCTACCAGATATATAGAACATCCCACGCAACAGAGGCAGAATACACATTCCTCTCACGTGCACATGAGACACTTTCTAGGATGGATCACATGTCAGGTCCCCAAACAAATTTTAGCAAATGTAAGAAGGCTGACCTAAGTATCTTTTCTGAGCACAATGGTGTGAAACTAGAAAACAACAGCAGAAGGAAAACCAGAAAATTCACTACTGTGTGGAAATGAAACACTGCTGAACAACTAATAGGTCAAAGAAGAAACCATAAGAAAAAAATTAAAGAAAAATCTCAAAGCAAATGAAAATGAAAAACAACATACCAAAATTTATAGGATATAACAAAAGCAGGTCGAAGGGAAAAAGTTTATAATGATAAATGTCTACTACCTTAAAAAAAGAAAGAAAAATCACACACACCTAACTTTACATCTCCAGGACCTAGGAAAAGCAGAACAATTTATATATGGAGATATCAATAAAATATATAGACAGAAAAATGGGTGAAAAATTTTATCAGGAGTTTCACAGAAGGCATTTCCTCAAAATCAAACAACACTGAAACACCAGTGTATACACAGTAGAGTGCCTAAAATTAAGAAAAGCAAAGTTAGGGGCGCCTGGGTGGCTCGGTCGGTTAAGGTCTGACATCGGCTCAGGTCATTATCTCACGGTTCATGGGTTCAGAGCCCCGCATTGGGCTCTGTGCTGACAGCTAGCTCAGAGCCTGCAGCCTATTTCAGAGTCTGTATCTCCCTCTCTCTCTGTGCCTCCCCTGTCATGCTGTCTCTCCCCCTCTCAGAAATAAATGAAACATTTAAAAAAATTTAAAAAAGAAAAGAAAATTTATTAAAAATTCCAACTGAAAAATGGCTTCAAAGATAATAGATAATTTTCTCAGATATCTATAAGCAGTGGATTATGAAAAACAGATTCAGAACAACATTAAATATTACATTTCTTATGTGTTTACACTTTAAAAAATATTCTTCCATAAGTTTCTCTTAGTGTCTGTAAGTTTCAAGTTGGTTTCTTTTTGGCACATTATTGTATCTCCTTATCTATTCAAAGCTGACAAACTGGGTATGCACTAAAGTTGAGATTCTTACAGAGAAAGGTTTGTGGAACAATGTGTGGGAATTACCAACTGATAAGCAGACAGATGATAGAGAAAAGGCCTCTCAGTTTGAGTTGGGTTATACTGGTATCTAAACATACTCATAAATATACTCCATGTTTTCAGGCACTAAAGTCATTTTAGAGAACACATGAAAGACAACGGTAGGTAAATAATTCATAAGAAACTGATGTATTAAACAGCATTTTAGTATATTCATTTATAGTGAAAACTATGATTTTCCAAAGGAACAATAAGAAGATAGAAGCATACTATTTCCCTAGGACAATTTACATAAAGATCCACATCATAAACAGAAATTTGATCAGAACACAACAAAGAATAGTCGTTTGATTCAATGGGTTATTAAAAGTAGGAAATGGGTTCACAGGGTATCTCTATACTAGGGATATTCATTTTCACAGCAGTTGATAGCACCTTCAAATAGCTTCTAATTGTAGAATTTCAAAATCTTCATTTGTCTTAATAATATGAATATAATAGCGAATGTATCTTCTCATTTAAAAAGGCGGTAGAACAAAAATCTCAGGCCAGTTTTAGTCCTTGCCATTTGATTTTCAATGCATTCTGGCTCTCAGCAAACACCTATATGTGCACAAACCTCCCCTCCCCCCCCTTGACTGTATTGGCCCATTTAGAGTGGCAGACATGCAGCCAGCATCTATAAATGTCATGTGTGGTCACAAGCCCGTCTGAAATGGGTGGGTAGTTGCTCCTTGAATTCATCAATTTAATCACCTCTTTGGCATCTGTTTGACCTAGAGAATATACCAAATAAAAAGTATACCTCTATGATCTCACACTTGGATGGGCATCAAATATGTTAAGAAATTTTATCTTTCACTAGGGTCTGTGATTTCTTTTCATGTAACAAATTTTCTCTTGTGCCAACCACGAGAGTGTTATCCTTTTACTTAGCGATGTAACAGAAATGTTACACCAGCAATGACAAGTAATATGACACCAAAGAATGTTTTAGTTAGGCGATAAATTTGATAAAGAATCGAAAAGAGTATCAAAGTCTCTCAATTCAGGAAATAATTTTCAGTAAAATATATCTGTTAATGAAATAGTTCAGCTTCCATGTGAAACTATAATGGAACACAATGAACCATTAGACTTTGTAAGTTTAATGAAATTAAATGATTATTACAATTTTTAGATAGTAAAAACAAAAAATAGACATAGTCTTTAACCAAAAGAACTTAAATCTTTTAAGAGTATATTTCTTCTTCGAAAAAAAATAAAATCATAGCCGTTCATTCACAATTTCAACATTAACTTGATACACCCTTCATTCTAACAGTGTTGAATATGCAAAATTTTATTTCTGTTTCTACCCGGCCTGACTGAAGTCAATACACAAAGCTGCTTATGGGAAAGGCTTGGCAGCTACAGTCCTGCAGATGTGAAGATATGTGCTCTGTTAGCCCTGGCAGCTGGGTATGTGTGTGCTACCCAGTTATATTTCTTGTCTGACCTCATGATTTGCTCCACTGTTAGCTGTGGCGACAGCTGTTCAGCTGTATTGAGGTTTTGTCTATTATTTATTATTTATTGCAAACTACAGCCCAGCACAGCTAAGTAGCACTATCTACTAGAGGTAATTGTGCTGAACAAATCTCTTGTCCCCAAATCCCTGATCTGGAGTACATGATATGAAGGCACCAGAGGAGCCACGGTCAGCAAAACGGGGAGGAACACTCATTCTTTGATTCTGTGCTTATGAGAGAGACCCTTTCCTTATCTCCTCTGCACAGCACTAATTTAAGATACAGACTGCCAAAATTCATTAAAAACAAGTTTAATAATGAAAAAGCCTATCTTGTAGCATTTTGAAATAAAATACAGATGATTGAAATTGCATTATTTAATATGAATTTTAACCAAAAAAGATCTACAATACACATAGTATATGTTTAGGAGACAAAGAGTAAAAGAATCATTTTCATTCAATGACTCAATGTATTTATAGCTATACATTTATTTCTAAGCACTGTGCTGGCAGCATACCACAATGTTTGTGTGTGTATGTGTCGTGATTTTATTATCATTCAATTTGACACATTTTCTAATTCCTCTCATGCTTATTATCTTTGACTCAGTATCGTTTACAAGTGTCATTTAATTTAAAATCAAGTGGGGATTTTCTAAATGTCTTCTTGTTATTGATTACAAATTTAATTATTTCGTAAATAGAGAACACTTTATAAGATTTTAATGTTATTATAAGTTGTGATTTACTTCTTGACACAGTATGTCATTTAACTTAGTGAGCATATCACATGGACTTGAAGTGATTTTATTCTAGTTCTTGAATTTAGTGTTCAGTACCTCAACTGAATAAAGTCATCTGAGTGTCCAGATTTTTTATTTGTTTAATAATTCTGTTGTTATTTTAAAAATTAGTTTCCAGAAGAGTGTGTTAACATAAACAAATACTACTGTGGGTTTGCCTTTGTTTCACAGTAGTACTGTCTGATGCTTTTTGAGTTTTGTGCTTTTTTGCATCAACCTCTGTGTAATTTTATATTTCAAGTGTCTATTATTGACATCATATACTTGGCTCTTGGTATTTTTTTCCCAAGTCTAAACACCTCTGGTCTTATTTGCAGAGATTAACCTATTTGTAAGTAAAAATTGATACTGTTATTTTTTCCAATATTTTGTCAGTTGTTTTTATTTGACCCATCTACTTTAAGATCACCTTATCTTCATTTCTGGGTTTCTTTAGCCTCAAACCAATATTTTTTTAATATTTTTTTTTTAATGTTTTATTTATTTCTGAGAGAGAGAGAGAGAGACAGCGTGAGCAGGGGAGGGTCAGAGAGAGGGAGACACAGAACTGGAAACAGGCTCTAGGCTCTGAGCTGACTGTCAGCACAGAGCCCGACGTGGGGCTGGAACCCACGAACCGTGAGATCATGACCTAGGCGAAAGTCGGACGCTTAACCGACTAAGCCACCCAGGCGCCCCTCAAACCAATATTTTTAAAAATTTATTTCTTGACTTTTGAACTATGAATTTTGTATTAAATTTTAGTGGTAGTTCTAGTAAAATTTGTATACTTAACTTTCAGTCTATTTATATTTAATGTTTGTTTGATATAAATGCCAAAATACAATTTTAGAACTTTCTCATTGAATTCATATAACTTTTAAAGAAAGAAAAAATATATGTTATCTTTTATGTACAGCCACATATTTACTACTTATAATGCTCTTCTTTCATTCTGATGACACACGTTTTCATTTATGCCAATTTTTTTAATCATGAAGAATTTCCTTTGTTAAGCCTTATGGCATAGGTTTGCTGTCAAAAAAATTTTTTTCAATTTTAATTGATCAAAAATGGCATTACTTCATCTTCGTATTTTATTTTTTTAATTTATTTCTAGGAGAGAGAGAGACAGCATGAGCAGGGGAGGATCAGAGAGAGAGGGAGTCACAGACTCTGAAACAGGCTCCAGGCTCTGAACTAGCTGTCAGCACAGAGCCCGACACGGGGCTTGAACCCACGAACCGCGAGATCATGACCTAAGCAAAAGTCCGACCCTTAAACCGACTAAGCCACCCAGGCGCCCCATTCATCTTCATATTTTAAAGATATTTTAGCATGACACAGAATTCTAAGCTGACAATTCTTTTTATTCCTTTACAGAGTTCAAAAATAAATTATTTCGATTTTCTTCTGGGCTCCATTATTTCTAATTAGGAGTTCACCACCAGATGTATTATTTTTATCTCTATGTAAAGTGTCATTTTTTTAAATTTGGCTGTTTTCAAGAGGCTTTTTTTTTTTTTTTAATTGAGAAAGAGAGGGAGAGAGAAAGAAAGGCAGAGAGAGCCAGAAGGAGAGAAAGTGAAAATCTTAAAATCTTAAGCAGGCTCTGTGCATAGCACAGAACTTGATGCAGGGCTCAATCCCATGACCTGGGGATCATGACCTGATCATGAGCCAAAATCAAGTACGATACTCAACAAAGTGAGCCACCCAGGCAGCCCAAGAGCTCTTCTATACACTTTATAGAATCAGCTGTGCATTTCAATGATTTACAGTAGGAAGTTTTGGGGTAATCCTTGTTATTCCTGTCCATTTGGTTTGTATACTTTGGAAATTTTTGGCCATTTCTTCATATGTTTCTTCAAATACATTTCTGTACTTCTTTCCTCTATTTTTAGGTTCTAACTATGTATCATAAATAATATATTATAATCTCAAAACTAATTGATAATCTAGTCATCCTTTTATAAATGAAAGTCTAGCTTATTTTATAGCATGCCCATCCATAGTAAATAAAAAATTGAGATAAAAATATTTATAAATATGCATAAAAGTGCTGGTGAGCTAATAAGAAAATAGAAATTTGTGAAGCTAAAATGTAAGACAGAAGGGATAACTAGAGAAATAATTTTGTTGTCAAATTATTGTTGCCCTTTCCCCTGTAGATATACAATTTGAGAATGACATCAATGTTGACGAGAAAGTGAAAAGTGCTGTCATTATTTTTATGAAGCTCGCAGAGAATGTAAAATTGGACTTCAGTGCCCAATAAGAAAGAAGAGAACTAACACCTCAGATTCTAAGCTTACATCTTATTAAAGGTATATCTGAAGTGTGCCAGTCTTCACAATGAGCTTAATTATAGATTGTCTTCAGGTATTCCAACTTTACAATTGTTTGGCAAAAGCAAAGAAATCAACACTAGAGGAAATTAACATTATCCAGGGCCTCAAAATTTCTCTTACTTTTTCCATGCCCAATGCTTAATATTCATATAAAAATAAAAAAGACTATTTGCCTTTCTCATTGGCAAATAGTATTCCATTGTATATATAAACCACATCTTCTTTATTATTCATCAGTCAATGGACATTTGACTCTTTCCATAATTTGGCTATTGTTGATAGCACTGTTATAAACATTGGCATTTGCAACAACATGGATGGAACTGGAGGGTATTATGCTGAGTGAAATGAGTCAGTCAGAGAGAGGCAGGTATCATATATTTCACTCATATGTGGAATTTGAGAAACTTAATAGAAAACCATGGGGGAAGGGAAGGAGAAAAATAGTCACAAACAGAGAGGAGGCAAGCCATAAGAGACTCTTAAATACAAAGAACAAACTGAGAGTTTATGGGAGCAGGGGTGAGGGGAAAATGGGTGATGTGCATTGAGGAAGGCACTTGTTGGGATGAGCAGTGGGCATAGTATGTAAGTGATGAATCATGGGAATCTACTCCTGAAGCCAAGGGCACACTGCATACTGTACGTTAGCTAACTTGACAATAAAATATATATATATTTTTAAAAACAGAGTGCAGTCCCCAGAGGGACTCCTATAGAAACCAAGGGCTGCAGGAATGGTGGGCAGGGTAAATAATGGTTATATCCCCCACTGAAAAGATGGCCAAGGACCAACTGAAAGCCCGGCTAAGGAAGTCCTCGGGACACCATCTGTGTAGATCAGCCTCCCAGGGGACAGAGCAGAGTGGTGAAGGCTGGAAAGTCCTTCTAGGAGGACAACCAGTAGCCAGTCCAGAACCCAACTGCTCAACGTGGTTCGGGCCTCTGATAGGGGGGCAGGGCCTGGGGAGCGGCGGAGCAAGACGAGGAATGCACTTTCCCATCATGTAATCACTGTATTGAGTTTTTTAAAAAAGATCGTTGATTTGTTTTGATAATAATTTTTAAATACAAAGTTAAAAATAGAAAAAAGTAAAAAATAAATAAAAACAACAAAGGCATCAAAAGTATAGAGCCCATTCCTGAAGACTGGGAGGTAAAATGGATCCAAAAAAGTAATTTGACCAGGAGTTTGAAACACCTTTGGTTAAAAATTTAAGAGAAATTATGAAGAAAAGAGATAAAATAATAATATATAAAAATAATAGAACTTATAAATCCAAATGTCAATCCTGCACAGAATTAGAAAGACACACTAGTATGTTTTAAAAAATAATTATCTTATTTTCAGAAATATCACCTGCCAGATTCCCTATAATTTTTACTATACTGGAAAGCACCAATGCAAAAACTGTGAAACTTGATAAAAAATTTGTTCTAGTAACCAGAATTCAAGGGAAACAAGAATTGATTAAACCTGATCTGTTAGAGATGGAGCTGATAAGAACTGATAAAGATTTTAAATTGCCATTAGTAATACAGTCAAGAAAATAGAGAAAGTGGGTTAAAAGGGAGAAAAGATGAAAAGTTTAACAAAGATTTGGGTTCACTAAACTATACAAACAATATAAATCCAAATTTAATTATTGATGGGTTTAGCAGAAGACTAGAGACAGCAACCTGCCATCTGCAATAATTAATAAGGTTCAGAACTGATTTAAAGCTCAGCAGGAAAATTTTGTCTTTATCTCTGAGGATGCTAGATGCCTGCTTTTTTTGGTTAGATTGTTGTTTTGTTGGATCTACTATTGGCTAAGATAAGGGAAATGGTATTTCTGAGGTACTCTTCAATATATGAGACTTTTCTAGTTACACTGGTTAGTTTCTTTACTAATGTTTTGTAACTACTCTGGCCAGTTTGACAAACCTGGTTTGAGAACTGGAAGAGTCAGAGAGCTTTTTAAATGAACTTTCTCAAAGCCAACAAGATTCCTCACTACATTCTGAAGATTCGGACTCATTACAGCCCAGCTTGCAAAAATTAGGCTCAAGAGGAGGCTCATGCCGTGAATGTCCCTCAGATCTCAAAGCTCGACTGCATTCTCTCTTTCCTACAGCAGCGTGTCTTTCACTTTTTTAAAAACAAATTTTCTTAATGTTTATTTATCATTAAGAGACAGAGAGAGACAGAGCATGATCATGACAGGGGCAGAGAGAGGGGGAGACACAGAATCTCAAGCAAGTTCCAGGGTCTGAGTTGTCAGCACAGAGCCCAATGTGGGGCATGAATTCACAAACCCTGAGATCATGACCTAAGCCAAATTCAGATGCTCAACTGACTGAGCCACCCAGGCGCCCCATGTCTTTCAATTTAAATAAAAATCTCACTTGAATGCACACTCAGGTGTCTGGGGAGTCCTCTTAAATATCTGAAATGGGAAAGGAATAAAAATAGTGACCTGAAAGATAAATTAATAAGGAGATATCAACCTTATCTGTAAAAGAAAGATAAAAGTAAGTGTAAGAGATGGGTAGAACATTGTGTGAAGAAAGAAGAAAATCAGGCAAAAGCAGTCTCTGAAGACATAATAATAAAAAGTTTCCAGAAAAAAATCCTTCAATCCTTGGGCAATATTTTCTTCAACAGAGAATAAACTGATATTGGAAAAGAAGCTTGTTTTGTGCTAATGATCTGTATTAGTTTTATATGCTGTGCAGCAAGTTATCACCAAATTATCAGATTAAAACAACACTCACTTATCTATTGCTGTAGATCAGAAATCCAGACACAGTATAATTAGATTCTCTGCTCAGGTTCTCACAAGGTAAAAATCACGATGTCAGTGGGGCCGCATTTTCATCTGGAGTTCAGGATCCTCTTCTGAGCCCATCAGGTTGTTGGCATAATTTAGTTCTTTGTGACTGTGAGTCTGAGATTTCACAGGTGTACCTCAGAGCTCAAACTGTACGTTTGGTTCCAGACGACCACAAAAAGCAAATATCACAATAAAGGGAGTCAAATTTTTTTGGGTTTCCCAGTGCATGATACTGTAGTCGATTAAGTGTGCAAAAGCATTATTTCTAAAAAAAATTATGTACCTTTATTTAAAAACACTTTATTTCTAAAAATATTAACCATAAAGCTGAGCTTTCAGCTAGTTGTAATCGTTTTGCTGGTAAAAGGTCTTGGTTTAATACTGATGGCCGCTGACTGACTAGGGTGGGGGTTGCCGAAGGTTGGGTTTGCTGTGACATTTTTTGAGAGAGAGGGGTTGGGGAGAGAGAGAGAGAGAGAGAGAAACACCAGTGAGGGAGTGGCAGAGGGAGAGAATCCCAAGCAGGCTTCCCATTCAGTGCTGTGAGGAGCCCGACATGGGGCTCCATCTCATGACTGAGATGATGACCTGAGCTGAAACCAAAAGTTGGACGCTTAACCCATTGAGCCACCCAGGCGCCCCAGTGGCAATTTCTTTAAGTAAGACAGTGAGGAAGTGTGCTGCATCAACTGAATCTTCCTTTCACTAATGATTTCTCTGTAGCATGGGATGGTTTTTAATAGCATTTTACCTGCAGTAGAACTTTCAAATTTGTAGTCAATCCTCTCAAACCCTGCTGCTGCTTAAACAACTATGTTTCTGTAATATTCTAAATTTTGTTGTCATGTCAACGATCTTCACCATGAGTAGTTCTCATCTCAAGAAACTGCTTTCTTTATTCATCTGTAAGAAGCAACACCCCATTCATTAAAGTTTCATCGTAAGATTGCAGCAATTCAGTCACATCTTCAAACTTCCCTTCTAATTCCAGTTCTTTTGCTATTTTGACCACATCTGCAGTCAGAAGATACACAACATCTATTGATTCAGCTTGAGTCTTTATGGACATGGTTTGTGGACATGGTTTGTGACTTTTGTTACTACCATGTTATGGTAGTAACATCGATGATCACTGATCACAAATCACCACAAAAATATAATACTATGATATGAAATGTTTGAAACGTTTGAAATATTGTAAGAATTACCAAAATGTGACACAGAGTCACAAAATGAGTAAATACTTTTGGAAAAAATGGTGCCAAAAGGCTTGCTTGATGAAGAATGCAGAATAAAACTTCAATTTGTTAAAACACACACACACACACACACACACACACAGTAGCTATAAAACAAAATAAAGTGCAGTAAATGAAGTATACCTGTATTTTCTTTCTGGCTGTTGGACTGGGGTTACTCAAGTCTGCTAGAGGACACCTTCAAGGCCTATCAAGACAGCTGGCTCACAGCAGGGAAACTTCCTTCTTCAAAGACTGTAGGAGAATCATTCTCCCTTCAGGAAGAAACACAGGCCCTCTTTTAAGCTCCTTTACTAATTAATCCTGGCCCATCCAGGATAATCTTCCTTTTAATTAACTCAGGCTGACTTAGGAGTTTAATCACACATGCAAAATCTCTTCATATTTTCCATGTGTTGCAGCCTAATCTGAGAGATGAAATCCTGTCACTTTCACAGGCCATCCCCACAATCAGGGGAAGGGATTATACAGGGTGTGTTTAAGGTTGGCCACAAGAATCTTGGAGGCCACCTTAGCATTTTGCCTACCACGTGATCCTCATTGAGATTGAGTATCTAGTCAAAGAAATTAGTGATGATGTGACTGGAACTGCCCATTTGCATTATCAGAGTGACAGGGTCAGTGAAAACAGGCATAATGGTCTGGATCACCCCACCTTGCAAGTGAATTAGATTAGATGACATACTAAGTGTAGGAAAATCTACAACAGGGGGTATGGAGATAATAAAGATGAATTCCAGCTTAGAGACCAGCTGCAAAAGTGAACACCTTCAATTAGAGTTGGGATGAAAATATCTTAAAAAGTAAGCAATACCAGAAATTAAATCAGAATGTGTTCCTTGTTAACTGACCATTTTTAGAAAAGTATGTTATTACTAGCAGAAAGAATGTCAAAAAATGTAAAAGAAACTAAAAATAAAATGCCATTTGATGGAAGTCAGAATAAATATGTAAGTATGTGCAAAAAAAGTGTTTAAACTCTTCTATTAAAAGAAAAAGAATTTCAAGTCATAATTTACAACTCTGTATGTTATTTATAAATTAAAAGATAATGAAACAGAAAAGTTAAAAATAATGTGCAAACAGACAATGTAAGTCATAATACCCTAATCCTAATTGGGTAAAAAGATTGCTAATTTTTATGAAAATTACAGTCTATAATTAATGTTATAATCTTTTTATAAAAACATGTCAAACATTTAAAAAACTGAAAAAAATAAAACCCATTAACCATCATTTAGATTAAATAAATGCTAATGTGTAATTGTATTTGATTTACATCTTTTATTTTTAAATGAACACTTTCAGATACAAATAACCCCTTTGTATCTTTGTGTTTCAACACCGTTAATAACATTAATTATTAGTAAATTATTTTACTAATCATTTCTGGACATGTTTATCAATAACACCATATTAATTTGCATATTCATTTAATTTTTTCAGAATTTATAGTATGACATTCATCATTCTCCATCTGGCTATTTTTACTTAATTATATTTTTTGAGATTTATACACAAAGTTTAGTCACTTGCATAGCCCAGAAATATTTCAGTGTTTGAAGAGACACTTTACCCAAGGGCAAGAGGGAACCAAGGTGCTGGCATATGTAATCTATTGATCACTCAATAATCAGATAATTTCAAAACTGTTTTGACCTGACCACCTGACCGAGGCAGCAGTACTCTCACGTTTTTTCTGCACCACAGTATTTTCAACATCTGACTTTGTACTGATTTATTTGGCAGCATTTTTAACCATTTTATCACCTCCACAGAACATTGCACTGGCAGACACTCAAAAGTAGAAAAAAATAATCCTGCAAGCCAGGGCACTTCCTAACACTGGGTGTTATATGGAAACCAACTTGACAATGAACTATATTTTTTTTAAATAGTAGAATAAAATAGGTACTAAGTATGATTCTGTAAGACCTGTGAATAACACAATGTAAGAAATCAATCTAAAAAAAAAACAACAAACCTCTTTATTCAATAAATTTTCTGAAGTTTGGGTGGTCTATGGCCTGAGGATATTACCTTTCAAAATTAAATTTACATCATTACTTTTTACATGCTACCACTAACAAAGAAGGGTAGCCATTTGCTAATCTCACTGAAATTTTTTCAAAGCTTATATCTAATTCAGGTGTATAACCCAGATTCATTTGGTTCTGTATAGAGTTTTGTCTCAGTTCTGAAAATACACATTGTTAAACCCTTCACATACATTTTTCCTGTATAGAGTTTAAAATAATGATCACTTATTCTAAAGCCCTTCTGCTACTAATACCAGCAATTAGTTCCGGATGTTTATTTGAATTAATCGCTATTTTTCTTAATTGTAGGTAACGTTTTCCTCTTTCTATACATGTCTACTAGCTTTTCAATGTTCACTTGACATTGTGATTTATATGCTGTAGAGTTTCTTGGTTTCTATATTACCAAGTGAAAAGCTTTCGATTTTGCTCTTGCAAACTGTTAAATTATGGGTGAATACCTTGATCATACAGAGTCTTGGTTTTAAGCTTTATTAGAGAGTGGTTATTATGGTTTTTCCTTTAGTACTAAGGTGAATCCCTTAGCATAGGCTTAGAAGTGGCAAACCGAGGGTTTAAATGAAAAGTCAAAGGGGTTTACCTAGCTCTTCTTTCTAGCACAATGAAGCTGTTGAAATTTTTGTCCATCTCTTTTGGACTACAGAGAATATTGTCTATTATGTATCTCGAATTGTTAGCTTAGTATAGTTCAGTAGTTCTTAAATGTACATTTTTTTTTGACAAAGGCCAAGTTTTGAAGAGAGTTTATTCACAGATTTTTGGAGTATCCCCTTTTGTGCTTCCCTTAATTCTGGGATGTTACCTTCAATTTCCAGCTGCTCTAGCATCACTGAATTTCTCATTCCAACAACATTTGTTCTGTTTGAGCTCTATATCTAATGAGCAAGAAACTGCCTTCAGGGAAAATAAAAAGAAGAATTCCATCCAACATGGCCCACTTTTTAAAATCTGAACCATATCTAATTTCTCTTTCTTTATAAAAAATACTTTTCATAGAAATCAAAAATTCATAATATAAAAGGAAACAATGAATTTACTCAAAAATATATTTGATCTATTTGCCATGAAGTAACTAGATACTGAGGAAACAAATGAAAAAACTTAATAACTGTTCCCAATGGTTTTTGGAGTTTAGTTCAGTGTCCCTTGAGTGCAGGCATGATTTCTTTACTTGCAGATAACCAGGCCCCTGCAGAGACCTGGATTCAATGATACCATGGAGAGGTCTATTAAATGTGCATTGTTAAATAAGCACCCAAGTTATTCTGGAGCAGGTTGTCTGGGGACAAGTTTTTGAAGAAAAAAAAAAAAAAGAAAAGAAAGAAAGAAATCTGGTCAGATCAAATAAGAGGATTGAGAATTCATGAGTGGCAGCAATTCCCAACTTTACTCAATGGCAAATAGGATTTTTTTCTGTCTAAATGTTTTATAAAATTTCCAGCTGAAATCACATTGTCCAAAAGACCTGTGGAATGCCCTGCCTTGTATGATTGCAATGAATCTCAGCTTGTTTTCACTCGGTGACATTTCGATCATTCAGTATGACCTGAATGTGTGCAGTTTGGCTTCAGGACTAAAAGACTATGTTGTTCTGAAACCAAGAGCTCTCTGACCAAACTTGACATTTACTGGCATAACTCAATATCACACTGATAGTTGAATGTTCACAGAATCCCTTGCCCTGCTTCACAACACTATTGATGTCTTAAACTATTTCATTTATCAAAGGCTATCTCTCCAAGAGAACAAAATCAAGCATAGGTCATTTTAATACAAGCACTCAATCAATTTTTCAATTTTAACCTTGATGGAATCAAATGATATGAGTGTTTTTACTTACTCAGAACATTCTATTTCAGCTCTGTCGAAAAAATTTATTTTCTGTTTATTTAAATGCCTATCAAAAAATTAACCTATCTAGTTGACCACACCTAACTATATATGTATATACATTTGAGAAGATGCATATCTTTCTATCCTCACTGTTTGATAATTCATATATTCCATGTGGTTAGATACCTTATAAATTGATAGAATTTGTATCTATACAGATAGAATAGATATGTATAGCTATATGTATCTGCCTCCTATCTATCTATCTATCTATCTATCTATCATCTATGTATAGAGATAGATCTTAGTATTTTACTTCTTGTACATACTATGTGTATGCGGTTTCAATCTATTATAAAGTTATGCCTTTTTTTTTTTAATCTGAAGAAAACACCTATAGTCTGGACAAGATTATTCCTAATTGAAGATGATCTGAAAAGTCTGCCATGAGTGAAACATAAAATGAAAAGGGGGAAAAAAAAGCATAAACTAGACATGTAGGGTAGGATCTTGACTCAGATCATTTCTTTTATTTCAGATTTATTTCTTGTATAATTTGTATACAGCTAGTATCTGGACATTACATTCTGCACTATTAAGTCAATAAACTCTTTAACGTTTTAAAGATTGTAAAAATAGTCTCAATTAGAAGAGTGTGCCTTGCTAAAATACAGAGGTATATTGAGTTACCCAGTATAAATACATAAACTGTACTGTACTAGGGAAAGAGTAGGAGACCAGTATATATGTATATATTATGTTTTACAATTTTGATTGGTCCCTTAAGGTAGTTATTTTACAGAAGTGTTTATGTATTCAGACTGGAAAACTATGGATTCAGATTGGATAAAATGAAAATAACATCTATTCATGCTATTTATGCCTACCCATTTTCAATATGCAATAAATATTTAATGAGAACCTACTATGTTCAAGATATTTGAAATTGGTCACAGAATAAACCAAAGATCATTGCTTATATGAAAGTTCCACTTTTGTGTGTTGGAGTATAATAAATAATCGAAAGATAAATTAGCAAAATGTTTATCACATGAGATAAAGAGAAATGTTGGAAAAGTAGATCAGGTGAAAGGGTGTGTGTGTGTG